CCCCAAAACCCCAAAACCCCAAAACCCCAAAACCCCTTATATCTATTTATTGGTAGAAATGATAGATTATTCATAATACCCACAAATGTTGTGTAGGTGGCCTCCAATTCCTCCTGCTATGGCTTTAAGATGCTTTCCTTCGGGAATTGCTAGTGAATAAAAGTAGTCTCCTCCTGAGCCTCCAAAGTTATATGTCGTTCCTTTAGAAGTAACAATACTTAATGAATCAATTACTTCTCCGTTCTTTCCTGTTACAGCAACAATAGTTTCTCCAGGTTCTAAAGTTATAGCTTGGTTGAGTCAAGTGGTATCTCATTCCTTGCCAACATGCATGCCACCACTTATCTGCATAGTTCCAATAGAGTACATAGCTTCAACTCCAAAGACAATGTCGTTGTTGTGGATGACTCTCAGTTCGGAAATCCGAATGCTCGGGTTCTTATCAAAGGTATCCTGATGGCTCTTGTAGTCATCAAACACTTCAGTGTCTGTATGGATCTTTCCACCCACAATAGTCTTAGTCAGAGGAGTCACGACCGGAATTGGTGCAGGTATCAACACCGGAGCCGGTGCTGGCACTTGTACTGGAGCTGGTGCAGGAGCAGGTGTAGGCACCTTAGCAGCTGAAGGAGCTCCAGGAATCAGAGAATATCCACAAGTCATAGGGTTTCCTGCTGGCGGAGTCACTTCAGGAGCAGGAGCTGGCACATAGCTTGTACCAGGAGCTATCGAAGGAACGTGAACAGGAGCGGGATCAGGAGTTGGCAATGATGTAGCAGTAGAAGCACCTCCGAACGGAGTCATGCCAGTAGAAGCTGGAGCTGGATCCCGAATGGCATGAGCGGAAGGATAGGTTCCCCCAATTGATGCAGGTGCTGGAGCTGGAATTCCTGATGGAGATGGGGCTGGGATTGGAGCTGGAGGTTGGGTTGGAGGAATTATTGCTTGTGTAGGTGTAGGGAGACCTGTAGAAGCAACAGGAATTGGTTTAGGAATAGGAAGAGTAGGAACTTCTCATGCATAATCTTTATCTGCAAACCATACTCCCACGCTTGTCATACTCTTTCCAAAGCCGAACTTAAATCCTTTGACAACCTTCCCTTTGACATCAGTCAAACTAAATTGAGACCCAGCTCCTCCCCTTCCATAGAGCCTACTTCTGGCCTTAGTTGTGGTTATCCTGAAGTAATTAATGTCTTCTCCGACCTTGCCTGAAATAGATTTTATATCTTCTTTTTCTTTAAGTTTGAACTCATCACATTTGCAGTCAGAGGTGTACTCACTACCATATCTCTGTCCTGATGATTCTCCATCATAGAACACTTCAATAGCAAAGATTTTCTTCTGGCTCCAAACCTTAATTGCTGTGATCTTGGTTGGAGGGACTCCTTTAGCTCTTAAAGAGTCTTGGTCACTGTAGAAGACAGTGTCAGAGTAAGATTTTCCTGCTTCGGTATAGCTAGCGCCAGTACCCATTTTATTAATAATTTAATTATAGAATCCTTCTTAGAATTCCTTTTCTATCCAGACTTTGAAGAAGGGGTTTTGGGGTTTTGGGGTTTTGGGGTTTTGGGG